AAAGTAGATTTCCAAGAAAATCATACTGTGCTCTGAAATACAACTTTATAAAGGGAGCTTTTTAGAACATTAGCTACAGAGACAGACCAAGGCCTCTTGGCTAAGAAAGACCTGGAAATAATATGTCTTCTATCACCAAAGCTTCACGAAACACCTAATTCTGCAAGACATAAACTCTCAATTATTCTAATCTGATCTTCTGTGGCATTTAGCAAAGACCAGAAAATGCAGCTCACTGTATTCCCATTCAAACATAATTGTCATTTACTGAGTGTTTCCCCACTGGGAAAAAATAGTCAGGTTTTCAGTACATGTTGTACCAATATGTATGCATAATATGCATATACAAATACATGATACATACTATTGTCCTCTCTGGAGAACAGCTTTAAGCATGGCAAGGTGGCCTTGAGACTCTTAGTGCCACTCAGCTTGCAGTGATTGTGCGGGAATAAGCTCCAAAAAGGAGCAAGGTCATGGACATAGTGCTGCTATATTTGTGAAAATGCTATGCTGGAAAATGCCCAGGTCTGACTCTAAGCATTTCTCTGAAAGGAGGCGTGATCTGGATCTGATCTGACAAGACTCTGGAGCATGTTTGTAGATCGCACTACTCCCTCCCCAGGTACCAGCCTGGTATTTAACCTCCCTGAGTCGCTTAGGTGCTCTCGCAGAGATAAGCATAATCTGCAATGACATCTAGGCTACACCACAAGATAATGCTTCTTCTGGTGCGTTATTCAAAATACCTGCCAGGAGACGAGCTTCAGCTGCTTAAATATGCATCTACAGTGCATTTGTGGCTAAGGCTGTACTCAGAGTGGCAGAACTAAACTGAACTGCCACCCTCAGGAAAACTTTATTAGAACAATTTCACATTAAGCAGTTTATGTAACTAGATCTTAAATACACCGGCTTTCTAGAAACACTGTCAAGCACTTATCCCTAACTAACCCATTCAGCTTTTTTTCTTAAAAAGGAGTACCTGGAAATACTGACCATACAGATTCCTTGAAATCATTGCACTGGAGCAACTCTTCAACCTGCTATTGATTTTCTTTGAGGATGCCATTCCAGATCAAAACGCTGAAGATACCTTGCCTTGAAAATCAAATCCTTAGGAGATCTAAGTTGGTATGGGTGCTGAACCTTTGAGCAAAGGCAGACCGTTGTTTTTTAGCATCACCTGTAACATTAATGGTCTTGACTTGGATCCTGTCTGCATGTATCGGAGAGCACTAAGCAGTTCTTTTGTCCTTGTCTTTTTCTCTGGTACATAATAAATGCACCAAAGGGGACAGTTTGGGTCTTTTTCATAAGCTTAATGGACAGTTTCCAAAGTAAAAACTGACTGGTCTGTAGGGAAGCGGAAAAAAACACAGAGTATTTTGGCATATATCGTCATCTTTTGGGTTGCAAAACAAAGTATGCCATACTGATTTTTGTCCTGAAAGGTATTCAGGCTTAAATATGTCACTGGGTCACCAAACCCATATTCTTCAACCTAGCCAGATCACCTGTTCCAAATAGTTGTCAGAGCACTGAAACATATTTTTTGGTCTAGGTGGTTCATTTTCCTTCAAATTGCTTTGTTCATATTTAGTTCTACCTTTTGTGGCTGGCTTTGGAACGAATCACTTTCTTACACATTAGAAGAAAAGATCCATTACAGACCAAAGATCCCATATTTGATTGAGAAGGACATGAACAAGGACATGAATTTTGCAAAATTATTGACTTTGCCAGCTTCCAAAAGAAATGCATCTTGGGCTTTTTTGCTTTTTTTAAGTCCTTGAAACCATGATTCCCATCATACAATTACCAGACAGAGGACTTTCAGGCAATACCGAACATGAATTATGCTGCAGGGTGTAAACCAAACCTTTAGGACTGTTCTTTTATACTAGGTGGAGGTGATAGAAAGATATCATCAATGGTTAGTGTGTTGATATGGAGCCATAAGACCAGTCCTGTGGCGTTCATTGGTTCATGCTGCGTCATCTTAGCAAAGGCTCTGCAACTGTTTAAACATGCTTAATAGTCACTTTGCTGCTAGAGTAGAAGAGAATCTCATCCTTTTTCTGAAACATCCAACTATTTTTAAATAAAACTGCTAAGTATCGGTGGCAATATAATCAGTTTTCAGCATGTAAGAACTTCCTGCTCCTCTTAGTCTTGTTCTTTCATTCAGGTGTTTTTCTATGACAGGTAAAGATAACCAACTTTATGAATGGCAAAAGTGACATCACTGTCACTGAGAGAAATCCCATGAAGCAGAAAGAACACCTCCAGCAAAGCTTTGGAGGGGAGATGAGAAACGAGCAAAATACAACATGCATTTTCAAAATGAATTCCAACATGAGAGAGGCATGGAAAAGACAATATTGGATACATTTCAACCCTTCCTTTGCTCAAGATCCCAGCAAAAACCTAGGCTCACAAGAGAAATAGCTGTGAAGTTTAAGATGTTACCACTCCTCGCCAGAGGTTATGCAAACCTGCACCTCAGCGCGTTCACAGCTCACTCAAAACTGCTTTGAAAAGCACATTTATCTCGAGTCACTGGATTTTGCATGGAAACAGCTGAGGTGAGGTGAGTGCATACACTCACTCCACCAGTTTCTCTAACAGTCCCTGCTGAAGACATACAGTGGTAACATCTTAAATTGTACCAGCTAGATTTGCCTGGAGCTCATCTAACCTCTCTTCAAGGTTCCACCATGCTGTCAGAGCTTACGTAGATGGAGACTGAATTAGCTAAGCTACTCTCTCACTCATTTCCAGGCATTATCATAAGGTAACTGCTCTACTGACCACTCTTCTATGCTGTTGTCAAAGATCTCTATATCTTCCTACTTCCCAGCAGTCAGGAGAATGACTTGGTATTTTAGAATCACTGGTGCTTCTGGCTGACCTACAAACTTCCTTCAGACCCATGGCTGGCAAGCTCATGAACCCATCACAGGGGGCTGTTGATTGTCCTACTGTTTACAAAAATAGGTAAAGCCTTCCCCATAGTTAGCTTTTCTATTATTGTGTCAAGCAGTCCAGGAACTACATCTTGTGTCCAGGACATTTGCTGTGGTAATTATTTCCTTAACAGAGGCGTGGTCCCATGCACGTGAAGCAATGCTAGTATTTGATTTTCTCTGCAAAAAAAAATTTAGAAACAAAGTCCTCAGTGCTTGTACATAACCTGAGGTGAAGAAGCCTACACAATGCTGAAGCCAGTAGACATTAAGCCTTGCGCTGAGGGAAGTCCTTGGATATACATACTTGTTCATGTTGTTCCTCTTCTGCTTTCAGAAACAGAAGGAAAACGAATCTCATCTCCCCCAGGCAGCACACAGTCACACTCTCCTCTGGCTGTAACAAATTTGTTTTAGTCCCAAGTTTCTCTGTCTCTTTCTACTTGGTGTTCCCGGAAGCCCTGAATACGTTTATTAGCATTGTTAAGAGGATAAATCCAAAATGAGACATAAAGGTCTCTTCATAGTCCCATCTCAGCTCCAACCCTAAGATGGAGGCCCCTTCAGTGCTTTAAAGAGCTGTTGCGAACGCACACAGAGAACTATATCCGGGCTGGGACAGGCTGGTGCCCTCCCATACCAAAACCAGCGTCTCAGACAATCACAAAGCACTTGGTATCAGTCAGCATACTCAGGCTATCCTGTGAACCCAGACAATGACTCAGGCTGTCGACAAAATAGAGGGAGGGGAAAACACAACTGTGGTTATCTGGTGACGCAGAGCTGTCTGGTCTCACCCCCAGTGCGGAAGGCTTGACCTCAGTCCTCCTTCTTTCCACCTGTGGGGTGCAGGGGTGCAGGCACTTGTTGGCTCAGGTCTGGAAGCAGAACAGCTGCACTGGAGTGACAGGGCACTGGAGCCGGTAAGCAGTGCTAAGCTCCTACTCTGCTTCTGAGCTCCAGCTGGCTTGGACCCAGACAGCTCAAGTTTCTCTGCGTATCACTTCCCTGCTCTCCAGATTCTGGGGCCAGCACAGGCAGAGGCAGCCCAGATCTGTTTGCACACAGGATCTGAGTTGTCTTCCTGTTGCGCGAAGCAGAGCAAACAAAGATGAAAGGAGCAGCAGCTGGAATTACACAGCTTTGTAGAGATTCCATAACCGTGCGTGCATTTCCTGTATCTGGAAACAAGGAGACACTTTTCAAGCATTTTGCACTTGCAAAAGGCTGCTAAGTAAAGGGAAATTCACCCATCCTGCAACTTTAAGATCTGCAGCTGCAGAGCTGAAGCACAGAGCGGTAAGCAGTTTGCTTACCCACTGCTGCTTTCCCCATGCAGCAACTCTTTCTCCCTACTGGAAGGAGCATTTTTGCCAGCTAAGAAGAATTTGCAGTAAGCTAGAAAACAATCAAAATGGCTCTTTTTCCTCCCCTCCCTTTTTTTGCCTGGAGTGATTTAGAGAAAGTATGATTTCTGTGAGGAAAATAATCACAACCTGAAGCTGCTGTACCATCTTCTGGTTAACACTGCATGAAAGCATTCAGGGAGCTCCTCACCCACTTCCTTCAAAAGTCTAGAGGACAAAAAAATGAAAACATACTACACTGCAAGAGATGAATGTGGTACGTCTATCATTCGTGGCTTTTTGTGCACAATCTGGTCACTCCGAAGGATGGTTGTTCTTCAACTGAACTGAATCATGCTGCAAAATTATTTCTATCTCACTGGCATGCTTTCTGTACAGTTACTTAACTATGTTCCTTATAGGAATTCAGTTTGCTTTCATTTCAGATTGCAAATAAAAAGAGAAACAATGGCAATAAGAATTATACAAATTTAAGTATGTGCTTTTATTTTATACTTTCATGGCACATTTTGATTTGTAAACATTAAATTACCAGTCCCCTTCTTCATATGTTGAAAATAACCACCAGACATTTGAGAGCATTACCTGAGATTTTAAAGGGGGGGGAGGAGGGGGTGAAGAGAGAGAGAGAGAGATCTGACATCTTTTACCTTACTCAGATACAGTACCATTTTAGGAAGAATTACAAAAAGGAATGTTTTCCAAAATAGGACAGTTTCCTTTTGACTATAAAGGTATAGAAAATACATCAAAACACCTTAGAATGATCAGCCTTATTCAGAGGATGTTGCAAGTCACTGTCTCCAACAATTCTATTAATGCATAGCTGAAACACTGCATCAGTCCTGCAGTAGCATGATATCAACGTTGTCATGAACACCTTGTAAAAGTAGCTCCCCTTGATAAGTGACAATCTTCCGTCGTTTTGCAGCCTTAAGAGTTCCCACTAGGGCTTCAAAGAGGTTGGCACACTTTTCATCAGCAAAGAGCACACCAAATTTCACGCTTACTTGTCCATCAGCATCTAAATCAAAGATATAACATGAAAACACATGCAGATTTTCTTTCAGTTAGGAGACTATTGCGGAAACAAAGTCAGAACATTGAAAGCAAACCCCATGGTGTGTCCCGACTTATCGGGAACATACTACGAATGTTGATGATAAATAGTAGGCAAAACTCCTGCCTGGTATGACTTTCCCTTTTTTCCAGAGACTCACATCAAGGACCACATACCTGCTATGTTTATTTTTACTGATGACTTTCTGAAACCTATGACCAGTACAGGCTACTGAACCTCTTCAAAGCATAAGGAGGAAATAGTTTTAAATAATTAAAATGTTAAAATTTTTTTTTCAAATTTTTTTTTCACTTACTAGTATTTAAGGTTCACATTGAAAAAGGTGCAACATGAATTCATTTCTCACACAAAGCAAGAATTTTAAAATATACGTTAAGGTTAGCTAGGTTATTCCTAAAAGGCAGATGCAGTCATACAAAACGCAAGATGTACATATCCGTTTAGGCTTTGAAAAACAAATGGAACTGAACAAAATTGCATCAGAACTGAAATATATGAGCAGGTAGCAAATCCACAAATTGCATAAATATTTGTAAAGAAAGAGGAGTTTTAACAATGAAAAACAGCCTTCAGAGAAAGGGCTACCTTCTAAGCAAGTTTAAGGAAGGTTGGGACTACACCTGTAACTCCTGGATTAGTTTAAGGCATACAGATCAATTCCTTCCAAATAATACTATGATGAACAGAACTGAAGTGTATGAATTCTGAAGTTCAGAAGTTACCAAGGAAGGAGTGGAAGGAAAAGGTGCAACTTTCTTCTTTGATGACTGTAGTGAGTATTGGAAGTCTAAGGAAAAGGGTAATTTTGCAGTTGATTGCTCCCTGCAGTGGGAGCAGGATTCCAGGCCTATATCCTCTGTACTGCGAAGGCTTAAACGTTTAACTTCATAACAGAACTACTTTAAAGGATGGGACACAGGGAGTACCATACAGTCCAACATTAAGTATATATGCAAGTTTTCAGGTTACCTGAGCCTGCTTAATTCAATTTCCCAAGTTCATAGGTTGATATAACATGACTACATCTGTGTGACATGTATGTCATATACATACATGTATGTATAACATGACCACATCTGTACCGTCAGAGAGATTACAGTACTTACTTTTGGTTCCCAACCGCCGAATCTCCTCAACTAAGAGGCTAATTTCATGTTCCACATTCATTGTGGTCTAAAAAGTAAAATAAATTTTGACAAAGTTATTAGGAGACCTGTAAATCCTTTGCGCTGTCCTGGCCTGTTCTCAGTTCATCAGGAATGTCACAGCACTCTGTAAATCCCTGAAGACACATGGCTACAGGATAATCTGATATTTCAGTCTCGAGCAGATGAAGAGCCTCCACACCTCCACATTTGAGGGGAAGTGAACAGAAACTACAACCTCAGTACATTCTAAACACAAATCTAAGGAGCTAATCTCAAAATATGAAAAATGTGGGAAGGTTGGGGCTGGGGCGGTTGCTTGTTTTAAAGAATGAGCTTTGGCTGCCACAGAGTCAGAGCATCCTGGTAACGTCACAAGTCTTCAGGGGCTTTGCAACTTTCTATCAATGCCCTCAACAAAAATGGAACATCTTCCTTTAAATTCCTCTCTGGGATATGTGGTAGATTTGTTTTTTTAAACCACACCACAGCTTTCCACTTATCCTGACAAGATACTGCGGACATCCAGCTGGTTACAGCAGGTCTACGCACGTGGTGCCCGAAAGGACAGCAGCTACCATATACCTGCTACTGAGAGCAGAACTGAACCAGAGATAAACTATGCAGTGTCCTAAAAAGGCCAACATTTATTTCCGTTCATAGTGATCCCAAGGAACCGCTACACCACCAAATGTATCCTGTGCACCTCTTTGCTGCGAAACACAGCAATTTTCACCCATGCGCACCAATGCCTCTCAACAGTTTAGCCATACGCAACTCAGTAGATGGCAATGCTACAGTCGCACAAAACACTATTCGGCTACAAAGCGTCCATGGTTAATAACTGCAGGCACCTGAGACGTGTTTTGGGATCTATGCTATGCAAAGCGGCATCAACACAGTGAAACCTTTAGATGTGAAACTCCTTAAGCAAAAACCGGCATCAAGGTAAGCACAAGAAACTGGGCCCCACAGGCAAAGCGAAGTGTCAAATGCAGCTTCCACAGGTGCTCACAATGCAGCCTGGAACAAAAGCTATACAGAGAGCTGGAGCTGAGCACTGTGCGGAAGGGGCTCAGTGAGCACTGAGATAGTCTCTGTTGTTCAAGAAACCGGGATTTCTGCAAAGATCTGGTAAGTAAGCGGAGTTAAAAAACTGGCATCTGGATACATGACAAACTCTTCCTAGTACAAAAGCTTCCCCTCCTTTCTTTTTTTCATTGAATTAAAATAGTAAGAGTGACATAGTTCCACCTCCTGACCCCTCACGATTTATCCAAGAGGCAAAAAAACTTTGTAGCAGCGTCTGACTTTAAGATCCCGACTTCACTTGCAAAAATCTGTCTTTTTAACATGCAAAATCGAGCAAGCTTAGCATCAGCATGGGTTTCAGGCAAAGCCCCATCCAAACCACAGTTTCATCCCCAATGCACGGTAACACAAACGCTGCAGTGGGTATTAAGAGGCTCACACGTAACATTGCAACAGGGTTGAAATTGGGCTGCCCTGGCACCACCGCTGCAAAGCTGCCTTAAAAGGGCATGGCCACAGGGCTGCAGAAGTTTAATTGCCTTACATGAATTCTACAGACTTTTAGATTTTGTTTAACTGAGCACCAAATATATTGTCACAAGTCACCAAGGAAAACATGACCCATCTACCAAAAAGCTTACACTATCATTACTAATTTGTCAAACTGCCAATTTTAATATTGGTCATTACAATGGCATAATTAGCTTCTCTTTAAAGATATTCTTTTAACTTTAAAGGCGTTTTTACTTTAACTTTTAACTCTTTCAATTCACATTAATTTAAAATTCTTTTCCCTCATACACATACACCATCAATTTAAATCGCAACATTTAGAATTTTTAAAAAAAAATTTCTACATTATTATGCAACACTTTTGAGATCAGAGAACCGTGGCTGTGTAAGGGGTAAGGAAGAAGGGATTCTAGGTATTTTAAGAACACTTATTTACTTTCTATTGTCATCTACTCGACACACCAACTGTCAGAAGTGCATGCCAACTATTAAACTCTAACATTTCTGATGCCAATACATGGCTGGACGCCAGCACGATTTTTCAGCACGTAGTACGACAACTAAACTTCTATTTCCTGGGAATTCACCTAACTGTTATTTAGCACAAATCCATCTTTGCAACCGGCCCCACCGACCTCTCCCGTTGCAGGTACTGCAAATCCCTGAGAAGATGGCTCCTCGGCAGGGCCGCCTTTGGAGGCAGAGCGCGTCCCCTTCCCACCGAGGCACCC